GAGAGAGAGAGAGAGAGAGAGAGAGAGAGAGAGAGAGAGAGAGAGAGAGAGTCTATATGTCTGTCAGTGTGAGAGCGCGCGCTTAATTCTGAACGCCTGCGTCTGTGTCTGCCTGTCTATTTACACCAAATAAACAGACATGATATCAGCAGCAGTACACATCTGTGAAGACTCGAACCCTGACCCTTCATCTCTCCAACTTCCCTGCCCCCTAAGTGGACGGTCAGTGGCTGGACTGGTCAGGCTGGGGTGAGTGCTCCCTCACCTGTGGCACGGGCACGCAGTGGCGCGAACGGGACTGCCTGGGGCCCTTCCATGGCGGGAAAAACTGCAGCGGCAACAGCACAGACGATCAACCGTGCAACACTCACCACTGTCCAGGTATCTGCGTGGATTTCACGACTCGGTCTTATCTCACACAAAGCCTCTATACAAACTTTACTGTAAAGATCTTTGACTGTTTGGCCAACTATATTATTATCCTTGTGATTATCGTCGTTGTCCCACTCGAGTCGTGTATTCGCCAAATAAGTCGAGGTCAAACATTTCTTTTGTTTGTAGATCTAATTTTGTGATTCACAACCGTAATTTGTGTTGATGGAGACGCAAAAAACCACATACATTTCGACTGCTCAGTACGAAAGTCCATTAAACGTTACGTCACTTTTCTAAATGGCGTACGGTTAAGTCTTATATACTAAGCAGTCGATTTGAAAACTTGGACAACCGTAATTGCAGTTGGATGATACTGTAATAATAATACACACAATTTGGAGAAATTCTGGAAGATAATAAGAAAGAAAACTTTACATTTTTTAAAAAGTGCTTGACCATTAATGAGGTGGATACACGGTTAGGGTCGTACACTGACGGTATCATTGGGTGATTTTGCATACCATTTTTTATTATTGTACATCATTGTATATTATTGTATGTTTTTGTATGCATCATGGACAATAACCATTATATCAGTGTCTCGCTTCGAGTATGTCTTTACTCTTGCATGTATGAGTGTTCTTGGACAAAAATTATCAATGAATTGGGCATGTCTTTCACAACTTTTTACCGTTTTCTGAAACTATCGGGAATGTTTTTGTGTGCATGTGTTGCATCTTTTAAACTATTCTTTTCCACATCCGCACCCACTGTCTTCTTCTGACAATAATATCTCAGCGAGCGCGACTTTATTATCGGTGAGTTAAAGTTCAAGGTCGTTCCCAAGTCATGACTTTGATCAGTGGACAACAGTTTCACAGCCTTTGACCCTAAAATTGAGGTCAATTAAATGTGTCTTCTTTTACACCTCGATTCTTTTATCTATTGTGCAGGTTTTTTCGTTACCCCCCCCC